AATTAATCCGGTTTCAGTCCGGGATAATGGCTTATTTTTTTATATCATATAGTATATTTATTATTACAATCTGTGAATATTAAGTAAAGCTTATAGCGGTAGACAATGTTAATAAAATAATCAAAGTTTTTACCATTATTTTCTTCCTTTTTGGTAGACTGTAGTCTTTTAGGTTAACGTCAGTACTATATTGATGCTCTGTGATTCCACTATTCCCTTTGTCTATGTATCTGCTGCTATCATTAACACTATCATTTGTCCATTGACTTAGCTGAAGGTCCATACGATGAACCTCATTCATGTGACTGTCCATTTATGACGAACGAAGGCTCTATTGCATGGCAGGGTTTGAATCAGCGCTCACAAGGTTGTGAGGATGAGATACTTTTAAACATAACTTGATATATAGAAATCAAAAAAGGCAAATATTTATTTGTATTCCAATTGGTTCACTTTAAATGTAAATAACCATGGAGTTCTATTAATTAGAAAACTTATACAAACTTATATTTAAGTAAATACATTCAAAGTTTTAATTTCGTAATAGTTTAATTTTAACTGATTTTACATCAGTAACAAATTATGAATTTGAAATACATGACAAAACTAATATGTATATGTTATATTTAATATATTCTAAAATGGTATTGACTATGTACAAAATCGGATTAAAGTTTACACTTTGTGTGTAGATACATCGACACGTTTTGGAATGCAGATAATCTTTTGTAGGATGCAGCGTTTAAAAGAAAATATCGGATATCTCTTCCAGGTGGGACGTTGAAATGGCCACAACACGATCTCGATTAATATCTAAGGATTTGCCGAGGCATTGAAATGCCGTACAAGATCCTATTTCACATCAAAGAGTGTCGAGATGTTGTCTCAATAAAAATGATTATTTGCAAATCGATTCTTTGTATTATCATAGATATTGTGTTGTGTTGTTGTTATATATTTTTGTTAATATTTTAGTTTAATTATTATTACAATACAAATACATTTATTAGGTACACATAATCAACAAAATTGATTCAACTATACGTGTTGTGAAATTGTATTTATATTTAAATAAAATTAATTGTGATAATATATTAATAATAAATAAAATGATTCTATACAAACATACAAAAGCGGCAGTCGTTTCTCCGATTGTAATATACTATTACATAACTATTATTGATGGTAATTCTGGCTCGTGTTCTACAATTTTATAGATACTTTTTCTTCAGATTTGTCAGTTATTTTTAATAATAAAATAGAAGCTATACCTCAGTTAACGTTTCTCCTGATTACGATGTCAAAAATTTTACATAATTTAACAACTAAAGATTTAAAAATGATATTGAAAACGTTTTAAACGTATTTGATAAAAACTTATCTTGATTATATGTTGTTAAATGCAATAATTTCCTGTAGGCAAATATTCATTAAAAGGAAAAAAACACAAACCATAAACTTTAAACTCATGTTTAAAAATATGATTTTACTATGTTTGAAAAAAAAAATAAAACTCTTCATTTTCTTTATAAAGTGCGTTCCTTTCCTCATTCTGGACATAGCATTTGTACTTCTGAAATTGAAGTTTTGTGAAGTAATTTCGTGGAATGTATTCTATTCCTTAATCGAGGTAAGACTGTATTTGTATGTAAGTAATTAAATATGTTTTGTAAAATAATGCTCTCTGTGTACTTAAATAAATCAGAGTGTTTGCAGAATGGATGTACATATTTTAATACTAAACTTATATCAATATAAGTAAAATTTACTGTATTCATACAAAAAGTTATACATTTTTTTCTGTTTTATTTTTGTATCGAATCTACCACAAACATACATTGAAAGAAAAATTACCAAAATAAAAACAGTAAGACAATAAAATATTATTAATTGTCCTTGCAGTTTTTCCGTCCTAAAAAAATATGTTGTAAATGTTAAATTACAAATTTTATAAAATTGTGCCAAGGAAATCACTTTAAAATATTTACCTTATAGAGCATTAATTATTGTGTTAATAAATCAATAAATTATAGTAATGTTCAATTGTCCACAATCCTAACTATGTCAATGGAAAATTTTACGATCGTTAAGAAAGAAAAATCTGGTTATAAAAGAAAACGTTAATTACGCAACATCTATTGAAAAAAAAAGTAACATCAATTATGTGTAAATTGCTGCTTTAATTGGATTTTGTGTGTTTGGGAAATCGCTTAGCATTCTTTCGCAAATTGCAACGCAAATACTGGGACGACTCTGATAATAATGCCAGATCGAAGATTTATGCCGCTCTGTGCACTTGTTTCTCATAATAAATCATATTGGAGTCTAATTAAGAGCTTCTGAATGCAATTCCAGATTCTTTTTTAATGTATCTGCAGGCGCGTCGCAACACGCGTGTCCCCAGCACAAATTGCGTTCTTAATTAAAATGCGAATTTCTTTACAAATTAAATGGAACAGAACATTGAATATTTTTCGTTTGATCGCAAAAAGGCCGTACGTTTAATTAGGTCGAGTATAAATAAGTTTTATATGAAAAATATTTACGTTCATCTCTCGGGCCAATGAACTGAAAATATAATAAATAGTATTAAATTAATAGTAAAAATGTAAACCTATTTAATTAAAAATAGGTAATTATTACTTCTAATTAAAGATTTGTTAATATAGTATAGTAAGGTGACTACACATCCTGATTTTTCGAGATTTGGCTCTATATCGACATGAAATATCTAGTAAATTATCTGATTTTTTTTACTCTATATTATAGTAAATCGATCTAATTAAATGTTAGTACTAATCAATACCATTCTTAACATATATTGTTTACTCATGCAAACTATTATATTAAATAACAAAGTATTTATTCTATATGATTTAGTAGAAGTAATATTTGTTGCAAGGGTGTGGTCTCAAATTTTCTAGATTTGTCCCTATATTTGGTTAGATGTCCTGGTGTCCCATATTTTCGGAACCGTTGTATCTATAGTGAGAAAGAAATATCTAGTAAATAATCTGATTTTTTATTGAACTAGTTTGTTCACTCTATATTATATATAGTAAATCACTCAATTAGTTAAATTATAGCATTGATCAATCCAAATATCATTGGTAAAATATGTTGTTTACTCATGTAAACTATTATATTAAATAACAAAGTATTTATTCTATAGAAGTAATAACTGCATTTGTTCTAAGGGACCACACGTCCCAAATTTTCGAGATTTGTCTCTATATTTGGTTAGATGTCCCGGTGTCCCGAAAAATGTCATCGATCCAGTATTATCCACTCCACACATTGCTTAACTGTCATAAGGACATTTCGTTTTCGTATATATATTGATTATGTCTCTTGAAGTTCTTTGCTTATTATTTAATAAATTTATAAGATTTTGTGAAATTGTGTATTATGCAACCTTCTTATCATGTTAATTTAATACATTATATTTTAAAGTTAAGACTCCACTTACAAATTTGATATAATAATACTATAAATATTTAATAACAATTTGATACTTCTTTAATTAGTGAAATACAGTTCATATTTTAAAGTGCAACTTTTCTATTATTAAATTTTCTGAATGAATCATTTAAAATTTGCCAATTGTTAGAATAAACTACGTAAAACTTTAATTTGAATACAAAATTTCGATTATCGTTATTAATAAATAAATCGACTAAGCGAACTTAAATTCCTGAAATTCATTAATTAGCAATTATTGAATTTGTAAGGAACATGGTTTCAAAAAATAGATACTTTAGTAAATTATTATTTAAAAAATCGAAATTTTTAACATTTAATGATTTTAAACCCATTTAAAGTAATTTTATTTATTATGTATAAGAATTTATATGTTCTGGTATTTATTGGAAATTAAGATATTAATTTCTATTATACTTTATTCATTTCTCAAGAATGTCCGCTTACCACATAATATTAACTTTATTGTAATGACATTTAAAATATTTGTTACAATAAATTTAATATTATGTTTTAAGTAGAATATTTTAAGTAACGAAGAAATAAAATTTTATATTCTCCATCTAAATTCCGAAAGTTGCGTTAAACGTAATAATAATTATCATTTTGTAGATTGGTTACAAAATATATTCAAGTTGTGGTAAATATATTGTAACTTTTTTTCTACATTTTTTAGAAATGTTACTTTCTTATATAGAATAATCGACTTTTGTTGGTACACTTCTCAACATGGAATATTTCAAATAAGTAGCAAAAAAAATGTGGATTCTTAACATCGTTACATAAAACCCGTCTTACAAAGTGATGTGTATACGGTTGCCTATGTTGAATTATATAATTTGAAACAGTCTTGTAGATCAAGAAGATGAAAGGCTCATACAAAAGTATTTAATTAATAGGTTTTCTTGTATTTACGATATAATTTGACAATTACAATATTAAATATTACCTAACGTATTTATTTTTAGATAATGTAAGAAGTGTTCATTTATTTATTAAAATCCGCAAAAAACGGTGGTTGAATAATAATTGAATAAAATGATTATATTTTTTTATTTGAATATTTCTATACTAATATTATGGAAGTGAAGAAACATATACATGTTTGTATTGGGATTTATATTTAAATAAATTGATTTATAAAATCGGGTTTGCAAAGTATAGAAAAGAGTTTTAATGTAAATTCACATTAATACGTGAGTTAAAATAAGAACGAAATTTGGTATTTTTGAAGAATTAGAATTGATTATATATTTTTTTACATACATTATAGACAAATAATATAATATTGATACATATTAAGTATTAAATAATGAAATAATAATAATAGTATAAATTCCCGAAAAATAGAAATATTGTAGACCACTTCCTTAATATCACAGCTAAATTACTAAACATATTTACAGAGAAATTTTTAATTAGGTGCTACATAGGAAAAATTATATATGTATATATAGTATAATCAAAATAAACATGTTACAAATATTAATAAAATAATAATAATATATTAATTTAAATATAATTTAAGTTTTCGTATTTTTATTCGTTTTCTTCGTATTTCGAGTACTATGAACGCAGTCCCATTCCGTTGATCATGATGTTGGCTAAGGCGTTTCTTCTCTTCCTCCAGGCTCCCATACCTTGGGCGTAATACTGCAACTGCTTGTACCACACTTTGGTCTGCTCTTCATCTTCAGCCTATTATAAAAATTGCATGCGATTAATGTAATTGTTACATCAGGAATCTTGTTGTGTAATTACCTTAAATATAAACGTGTCTTTGCCCAAGAGTTCTTGTACTTCGAAGTAACTTTGCCAGGCGGGATCAGCTGCTATAACACATCTATCCAGATATAAAGGTTCTCGAAGTAAGGTGTAACGACCGTTCTTGTCCCTAACTAACAACAAGGCTGCATCTCTGATTCCAGCCTGCCTGGAAAACACCAAACTGTCGTCTGTTGGATCGTTCCGTGTTGATGTCGACTGTAAATATACACAAATTCAAATTGTTGTAATTCAATTCGAGAGTATCAAATTCATACTGACCTTTCCGTTCGTTACGAGCAACGCGTTTACAGGTGTCAGTTTTATAGTTCTTCCTTTCCTCCAGTTGTTATCAGTCGGTTGGGTGAAGAGCAGTCGGCCTTCCAATGCGAACTTGGCCTCGTCGTGGTTCCACTCGAGCACGTCGACGGCGATCTTTCTCAATTTTATGTTAACCAAGTCCATCTCGGAACTCGACCTCCTTCCAGGAATGCTGCTAATCCTGCGCCACAGCTTGCTAGGAACATCCTTCGTCTCTGAATTCATGTGGCTTAAATGCAACTCGATCTTGTGTTGGGCTTCCTTCAACTGCTCTCTGGTTTCATGGTGTGTCGGAGTAACCTTATACAGCCTCGCCAAAAGTAACGGATATTTTGTAACTCTCTGCACTGGGACCATCAAGAACGAGTTCAAATTCATCCTTCTCAATACCGTGTTCTCCATTTGCGATACTCTCAGAAAGATTCTCAACAGCTCCTTTTCCTTCTCGAGACTTGCTAACAATAAACTGGCTGGTCCTTGGCGAACACAGTAAGTCTCAAATCCGTGCAGCATTGGAGCGGCTTCCAAAAACAGTTTTCCAATATTTACAGTCTGCAAATCCTCGTCTCCTTGCTCTGCGGCAATTTCAACGGCGTCCCTCAAACGCTCAGCTAAAGCTTGCGAATTTTCCAACAGCTCTTCGGCGTTTAAGAAAATTGCAGATAACTGATCGCTTGTCAGTAGACCGGCCACAAGCATAGGCTGATAAAACTCTTCCAAAATAATTTGAAGATCTCTGCTGTACTTCTCCTCAGTTTCTACAATCTCTGTAATGATTTCCTTGCGTTCGGTCCTCTTTTTGATGCACTTTCTGCAAACCAAAGGTTCGTGCTCGGTGTTCGGTTCAAGATTAGCCTCGCAATCCTCGCAGCAGATATTAATTATGTCCGGCTTACTTCTGTATTTGCTCAAAGAACTCTTGCTAGTTTCGGAGCCAACTCCAGAATCGTTTCTTTCAATTTCTGCGTTTCGTTTATCATCCGTTAAAGAGCATGGCATCACCAAAGAACTATCTTCACTGGAATCGCTGACCGTACTCAAATGTGAAACTCTGTTGTAAGGAGTCTCATTAGTTTCTTTGCTTTCTTCTTCTATAACTACATCAGAATTTCCAAAGTTATAAGTATAGCTGTCTTCAGGGATGATTCCGCGTTCCTTCGCGTCAACCAGGTAGCTCAAGATGTCATATTTTGAAGCACCTTCAAAAATGGATCTAAAAATATAATATTTAATAAACTATTATTCCAATTATATCAATTAATATATATATTACCTTGTAGTGTATTCCTTGTCTAATTGTAAATCGTCCATTATACTGGACGGCGGTGGATTTGCAGGTAAAGGTGGCGGGATTTCAATCTCTTCATAAATTGGATCCGGGTTCAATTTTATGCTTTCGTAATGATGATCTTCGCTTTCGGAGACTTCGACGATAGCGGAATCAGCTAATAACTCGTAAAACTTGGTTCTTGCATTTAATTCTTCTTCAGTTATGGAACTCCTATTACTGTGGTCCGTGTAACATTCAGATCCATGGTCCATAATTTCGTATTGCGTCGAAGAACTGTGCTCCGAGCAAACGTCTTTATCATCCAGATCCAATATGTTATTATTCCTCAATTTTATGAAAGACTCTTCAATGAACTTCTTTACTTTCTCTTCTTCAGTCAATGTTTCCAATATGGGCTGCGTGTTTTTAATGTGCGCTTTGCCGCAAACGTGTGGAACCAAATTAAGTCTGACAGCTTCAACCGGATCATTCAAACACTTGAAGATATCGTCGTTCATGGTTTCTTTGGTCTCCGGCAAAGTTTTCTCCTCCATGAAAGGATTCACGAAATTGCCGGTTATGTACACCGTACTGCTCTTCTTATTTTCAATGACGATACCAGAATCTTTAACAACAACCGAAGAATGATACAGCGGTATTTCATCGCAGACTTTAATAGTGGAATAACAATCATCCCCATTGATCATAATAGATGTTTTTCCTAAATGATTGTCGGTTATTGAGATGGTGTTGATGTTATTGGTTTCGGGAAATTCATTCTTTATTTTTAGTTTATGGACACTCGGCTCACACGCGTTGATCTGCAGAATAGTTCTGTTCTTCTCTTTCTGATGATAGTCCGTCTTTATTAAGATCTTATCAGCTTCCTGATAGGTTTTAATCAGAACCTTATCTTCATCCTCCAACTTTTCTTCTCTGATCCTACTGTTCCTCTTCCTCGGCGGAGCTGAAGGAGGCATCTCCTCATTAATATCCTTATTGACATCAAACTTAACATCTTTCTTGACCTCAAATTTAACTTCTTCTTTGATCTCACACTTAACTTTTTCTTTAACCTCAACCTTAACCTCTTGCTTCGGTGGTTCTGGAGGTGGTTCCGCAGGTTTAATCTTACTCAGCTTCGCATTAGTGATGCCATCCAGACGCTCCAGATCTTCAGCGGTAAAGACAATCCTCGAATCAGTTTTCTTTGCTTTACCTCTCAAAGCCATCGAATCGCAAAAGATGATACTGCGAGACCGATCTTTGACTGATCTCTCACTTTCAGATCTGCGAAGTTTGCACGAACGCACCGCTGGGAATAATGAAAAAATACAAATGAATAATAGTGTTGTATATACAAACATATATTAAAAGAAGATTTCGTGCATTATTATAATGAAATTAGCGCTGCGAATGTGAAAATTTCTCTTTTACTTATAATAAAAAATTTAATAATAATGTAAAGCCACGGGCGAATCCTGTCGATATTTCGCGCACAATTTCTGTTATGGAACAAAGTCGATGTTATCCACGTATCCATACTGTATGTAGGTATTTCGTAATATTGGAAAATGCTATATTTATACATTCTTGTTCGTAGATTATTTTTCAATTGATGTCGAAACCGTAAATTGCTTCTAATGACAACCGTTATCTTAACAAACGTCTCTTGTTGGAACGTGCATTTGATAACCGTAATTATAGATCTATTAATAAATACATGTAAATATCNAAGAAAATCTATATAATTTCATATTTGTATAATGGGGAATGAATTATTTAAAATCGTTTTAACCATAAAATATTTATATATAATAATGTTATGTTATTCTTAATCAGCGTTAAACATGTTTCTAGTTATTAAATAATAAAATATTTTACAAAGAAATGAAATCCATTTCACAGCTATATATAAATTTAAAAATTCTCTTTTACATATATTTTAATCATTTGTTGCAAGTTATTACACATTAATACTTAATGTGGTGAATTGTTAATTTTACTAGAATATACACGTAACTTCTATTTCAAAGCACTTAAAAAATTCTTAAACCGCATTCGAGCATCACGAAATTTGAATACTTTTCGTAAATATAATTGTACGAAAGGTCAGACAGAAGTACGTAAACTAAGTAATAAAAAAATAATATATAATAATATCTTATGTATTTATTAGCATAAGAAATGTTTATTTGTATTTTCTCGAAAAAAAAATGTCCGTTTTTGCTAGACTTTTGAAATTATTATTGTTTTTGTTGAAATACTGGTTTTGCGTTTAACGTTCTACATTCGTTTTGTTAGCGAAAGTTGTTGCGGTTAGTTAAAGTCCTTGTATTTAATTTAAAACTCCGCATATTTAATTTTTCCTTCGGCTCGTGAAGACAGAAAACGAAGAGAGAAGGAGAGACAACGATTCGCGTTATTTTTTTTTTCAAACCTAAAGCACCAATTAATAATCAAAGAATCCCAATACCATCGAAAATTTAAATAATTTTTCATTTCGAAATTTATTTTTGAATATATTTCAATTTAAAATAGTGTAAAAAAATATTATATTAGAATTTTACTTATCACCAGGTTTAAGCCTGTGATGTTTATACATTAAAGATGTTAGTAATTTGTTTTTATAAAAGAAATTTAATTGCGGTTTTTATTGTAGGATTCGAATAAGCGAGACTGAGAGTATAAATAGATGAAGAAGATTTGCACATTAAAAACTAGTTATTAGCAATTTTTACCTGCAGCATTTTTATTTTTATCGGTCTGCGGTTTTGGCAACGATGCTTCTTCTTCTGCATCTTGATTTATGTGTTGTTCTTCGACAACCTTTTTCGCCTCGTACAACTCTGTTTGCTCTTTCACTTTGGGTGTATCTGCAACATCGTTGCAATCGTAGAAGACTTCGTCCTTTAATTCCTCATTGTAATCGTAGAATTCTTCGATGGGATCTACTGTTTCTTTGTATTCGTAAAAGATCTCTTTCTCCGGCTTGATCTCCTTTTTTATGGGTGGTGGCGGTGGAGGAGAGGACGGTGGAGGCGGTGGTGTTAAGGGTGTTTTGGAGTGTGCTGGTTCGACCAAGAATTGTACCTTTTTCCTGGGTGGACTCGTTGGTAAAGGTAGGTAAAAGTGTGACCCAGTTTTATGGGCCGGCGAGGGGCTGCGCTCGGGTCCGTGGCTCGAATCTGTGTCACTGAAAGTTGCAGTGGGCTTCTTCAATATGGACTTAAACCGGTTGGATTCAGACTCCTTTTCATTCGACTTCGGAGACGACGACGTCGCGGATTTCGGTTTCATTTTGCTGGGTTTTGGGATCTGGCTTTTTCGTACTTGGACATCCTCGTAGTCGGGTTCGCAGATCGGAGGTCGGACTCGGATTCTTTGGCCGTTCACTAAAGTTATGCTAGAGTCCTTCTCCTCGTGTCCGGTGGACATAAGGTCGTACGGGTTCACATTGCATTCCAGTATAGAACGTCTTCCCACCGTAGAATATTTAGGTTTCTGCTTCTTGGAGTCGCTGCGAGCTTTGCTTGGTGACACAGAACGAGCCCTGAACTGGTTAGGACTCTCGGTTACAGAGAGGCGAGATCTTCTCATAAGATCGTAAGGATCTGCAGCTGGGAGGATGGATGGTCTCGAGGAAGATGTTACTCTAACTGTACCAGCTCTTGTTGGAGTGGTTTGAGCCAATGTGGCTGTGGGGAAGCAACGCACCGTCCCGAATTTCGAATCTCCGCTTGGGAACGGTAACCGGGTTGCCTTGCATTTCTTGCAAGTTGTTGGGGTCTTTTTGCTGGACCTTTTCGTACCGTTCAGGTAATCTGGGCATGAGCATAATACCAGCGCCGGTGCCAGCAGCAATCCATTTGGACTGCCTCTGACGCTGTCGTACAACCAAGGGTCCGCGTACCTCATGGATCTGCTCAAAGAACTCTCGTTTTCCTGCGACCAACGAGGATTTTCACTCTGGAAAAGATAAAAACAACTTCATCAGTTTTATTCTTTTGCTATAATTAACATAGCTTAGTGAATAATTTAACTTTCTATTAGTCAGAACGGTCATTTTAAGAAAGCGAATATTAGCGAAATTAATTTATGTCGAAGATAAAAATCCAATGGAAAAGAAGATACGGAATCAAAAAGAAACTTTCATTCATCAAAAAAAAATCTAATTAGTATTCTACTAACAAATGTATACAAACAGTTAATAATTATATTAAAAAAACTAAAATAAATAATATAATTTCTCAACAACACAATCAATTAATAAAAACCATTATCGAACAAATATTTTTTTTTAGATAATATAATTATAAATAATATAAATTGTACCAAAATTGTTAAAAATAATTATTAATATTGTTTGTATTAAAATTTATATAATAGGGGTGGACAACTGCGGCTCTTGTGATAAACGATTGCAGGATTCCAGCTCTTACAGTGGAGGTTATGTTATTTATTTTTACTAGTAAAAATGCAATTATTTTAACAGGCAAGTGGCTCTTTGCTTCATAAAGGTTGCCGACCCCTGTTATAGAAGTACAATATTATAACGCTTATCTAAATTAAACTAATTAGTCTTTATTGTTACATATATTACTTATACACTATGTGTGAATTATACATAAATATCTATCATATATATTAACTATTATATACCAATGACATCTGTCATCAAACAACAAATAATAGCTGTGACATATATGTTTAATGTGTATGCTGTGTATTAAATTATTTTTTATTGTCACATCTTTAATACTAGTATTAAGTTGATTTCCCTTTTGACGCGTTTATAATTCAAACTACTCTTTCTTCTTTTATTTCAACGCATTACTATTTCTTCTTCAAAAGAAAAAGATGTGCTTAAGGTGAATGAATAAAGAGCGATGATGATGAGTCTTGGGAAAACTTTCATTGTCGCAAAGTGTGGGAGTTTAACAAGCAGAGAAAATGATATCGTGCGAGCACTTTTACGTTACTTTCCTTTGATTGCTCAGAATATTACTGTTGTTATTATTGTTATTTTTTATTTGTTTGTAAGAATAAAACAGAAGAAGCAGGCAGATCCACTTAATTTTAATAACAAATATGCTTAGTAGGCGAACGATCGATAGCATTTATTTAAATTATTTCATTGTTTCCAACGCAATAGTCGGAAGAATAGGCACGAGAACTTCGACACTTCCTGAAGACTTTCGATTCCTTTTTTTTTTATACATTTATGGACTATTAAATGAATTCGCTCGAACGATAATGCGATGTATATGGAGAGGCTCTTGTGCAGAATGCAATTATGGCAATTACGGAATTTAATATTCTAATTGCTGCGAAATCGGTTTAGTACAAGGAATTTCTATGCAGGATATGCATATTTTAATTGATTTTAATCATATCTTAAGCTGAATTAATAATAAGATAATAAATAATACAATGAAAATTTCCTCTTTAACTTCCTAATATTAAAACTTACTTTCCATTTCTTATATTTATTAATGATATTTCCCAGAAAAAATAGTTATTACTAAATTTATTAGGTCGAAAGGACGACCTATCAGAAAATAAAGTTATAAAAAATTAATATTTACTAAAAAATTAATTGTAGCTAAATTGTTTAATTAATTAGTAATGTTTAAGTAATTAATTGTTTTAAATTATCTTAATTAAATTATATAATTTAATAATTATTATTTTAAACTCGCTTTATCAAATTAAATACTATTATGTATCAAATAATTAAATTTTATGAAAAGACCTACTTTATAATCCTCTCATCATAACAAGACGTCAAATGACCTTTCTTGTTTCAACTTCGGCATTTAATTAATATATTAATAAACTAGATAACCTTCTCATTTGTTTTCATTTTCTTAAGATTTGAAGTCAAAACACACATATATAAATCTTGTTCTCTTTTAAACTATTAACAATATTTGTTGCTATAACTTTCGCATTTCACTCTCACACGAAACTATATATAAATCACTCACTTTCTGATTATCTTAAAATCTAAATTTTTAATTAAAATGAATTTTAATATTGCATGCATTAATAATAATAATAACAATAATCTTTTTTTTTTCCTATATTTTTAGGATTTTTTTAAAAGATGCAAAATGATGTGAAAACATATATTTTTTTAAATTAAAATATTCTTACATAAATTGCTTAAGTGAGTTTACTTTAATTCTACTAAAGACTTGTAAATGCTATGGGAAATTTTGTAGTGCACCTTCATTGCATATGTTTAGTTTCAAGCTTGATCTTTGTTCTTACATTGCTAATTACTAAGGAACTATGTCTACTCTATTACAGGAAGGAAACGAACAATACAAGCTAATTCATTAAATTAAATTAGTTAAAACAAATGTTATGTACCTTATATATTACAATTTCTATGAAGTTTGTTTAATAATCTTTTGAAGCAAATTAGAACCAATAAAAAAAATACTTATAATAGTATTAGAAATAAGTAATAAATGTTTATGGTTTTGTTACAGAAGGAGAAAATCTGCAATGAAAGCGAAATATTTGCGAACATAAACGAATGCATTTACACGTTCGCACAACGAACGACCTGGAAAAGAAACCTATTCATAAAATCACTAATTACCAACGCTAAAAGTCTATAGATTTAATTTAAATATTTTATTATATTATCACATTGAATTTACAATTTCTAAAAGCAGTTGAATAAATATAAAGAAAGTTTACCAGTTAGTACAAATATTAATAAACTATATTAATTAAATTTTATAGTTAAAGAAAGTTTAAGTCAATGCTATTTTCAATTTCAATCAAATATTTTAATAGAAATTTATAAATTACGCATATGAATTGTTGAGGTTTTATAAAAATTACTTCGATTTAAATGATAAAATGTCTCATTTTATGTCATGTTTAGTTTCCTTCTTAAATTATAATCTTGACATTAACATAATTCAATTAATTAATTTATATAAATACAAGACCTTTCGTCAAAAAAATGTGAATATTTCTAATAATTTATAAATTATAAAGTTTGCAATTATTTTTAAATTTTACTTTCTTTTCAAATTTTACATATTTATGTATGCGTTTTCATACTCTTCCTTTTTAATTATTGATTTTATTAAGCAGGCTTCAAATTCATTCGAACTCGAGTCAGGATATTGAAGTTAGTTTATAAATTAGGAGAATCATTGGAGTAAAGGTTAGAATATTTATAATTTTGCATGATATGTATGATACATAAATCAAGATCTTGTCTCTTTTCTTGTCATTTACATTATTTATAATATTTTATTTATTTTGATTATATTAATTAAAAGAAAAAGTAGCTTTCAAGACTTCACAAAATTATAAAAAAAAAATATTTGAAATTCACCAAGAAGAAATTAATAGACAAATTTATATGTAATAATAGCAAAAACATGAGTATTTACGTTCAGAAAATATTAGGAAAAATAGAATTAAAAAAAATATGTGTCTATCTGGTTATGTTATTAGAAAATGATGAGAAAAAAGTACCTAAGAAGAATGATTTAATATTGAAGATGTGAAAAAATGAATGAAAAATTGCAAGTTTGTAATGAATAATAACGTAAAAAGGACTAGAATCAATCAAATTATAGGATGTGCAAAGGCTGAGCATGGTAATGGATTGGGGATAGAAATATAAGTGGTAATGGTGATTTGCTTGGCTTATGATCATTAGACCAGTTTGATTAATCATGTTGCCATTGGTATTATTAACTGCAGCATCTAACTTCCTCTTGGTAAGCAATCGCGCGTCTATTTTCATATAGGCATAATATATAGTAAAATATTTGTAAAAAAAAAAAGAAGAGGAAAAGCATACGACGGCATGGAAAATTAATGGACGATGGTGAAACTAATATTTTATGCATGTGCTGTTTCGCAACGAGAGAAAAATAATTGTAAGAATCAGCCTACCCTTAAACCACAGGAGGAGAAGTTCGCATCCGGTGAAGAAGCAAATCGTCGCATCGCATGGCTAACCACTGTAGCCATGGAAGGTTATCGAATGCGGCATCACTGAAAATACACACGTACACATTTAATAATTATAATAGTATTGCATTATAGTTAATAAGAACAGAAAAGAAAAAGATTGAATAAAATGTAATTAACACTAATTAATGACCAGTAGCCAACCGAACCGTTCAACTATGAATTACATAAGTTTCTTAACCGATTCACTAGACGGGCTGTGGTAATTACCAAACAATTTCTTCTTTCGAAGACACTAATCAAAAGTAATTTCCTCATCGTTTCGATATTCAAATTGACCACAACAACAAAAATCTTCCTCGAATTTAGTTCACAAACTTCCGTTTCAAGTCAAGAAGCTGATTTTTTTTTTAATTTGGTGTTATTACAATAATGTTTACTTATGGTTGATGGTTTGAATAATCGAAAGCAATGAGAGTCAAATACAGTAAAACGTTGCCTTCTACCAATATCTCGGAATCTTTGAATCGAAGGACTAAATATTTACAAAAAAGAAACAGAACAAAAAGATTTGAAGTGTAATTATATAAAGGGATAAGACCAATGATTTTTGTATTGAGAAATCAATTTATGTACTATCTATTTAGATTTTGTTTTGTTTTGAAATATCCAAACCGGACTGATCGAAGCCGCAATATACGCATAGTGCGTAACCGTAACTCATTTTTTTTTAAATATTTTTTTTTTAGAATGCAATAAGGTTTAGTTGTATCAAGGTCATATTAACAATGAGAACAATAATCAAGATTGCGCTAAGCTATGACGGTTTTTGAAAGTCCTGTAAATGAGATATGATCTTTAAATGTAAAGAAAGTCATATGATCATTGAAAGTTAGAGGCCTTCTTGTGTAGGAGCTAAATGCGTGAAAGGGCTGACAATGACCTCAAATTCATTCAAACTATATCCAATATTACCTACTTAAAGCTTTCATATTTAACAATTTCTTTGCTCAAATATTTAAAATTATTATTTATTTAAATTAAGATTATTATTAATATTTTTTTGTAATTATTTCTGTATATTGTTTTTTTTTTCTATTTTATTTCATTTCATAATTATTTCCATTTTTGAAAATATGTACTAAAGTTGAATTCTCTAAATACACTAAAGATGTTTGTTTTCTTTTATATCAATGCATGACATCTTGTAGAACATAGAAACGTAAGTACTATTTTAATTGATGTTAGCGACCTGCAAACCGATTAATCCAAGACATTAATGACTCTTTGTTGGCAACTGCGTACACGCAATAAAACAATTAGAAAGCACAAAATCGAAAAGGAAAAAGGCTTTTCTAGTCAGGTGTATTTTGTGGAATCGCGTCTCGCAATTACACTGCTCCTTTAAATACTGCCTTCACCAAGGAATTCTCCAAGTGCAGAAGATTGATTCGTCGCACCGAGGTCAATCGGAATGGAGCTGTTAATTAATTTGCTACTACCCATCCATTAATAGTAAGTATGTCAGACTGCAGTCCGAAAATGCCCAAGGGTGTCTTCTAATACCGAGGAGGAGCGGAGTCTGCTTTGTAGAGACGATGGAGATGAAAGAAAGATGGAGAGGAAAGAGAATCGGAAAGAAAGTGAATCAGACCTCCCGAGGCCGAAAAAGTCTTTACTTTCATTCGGTTGCAGCCATTAAAAATACTATCTTATTATCATATGCCCCACATTTGCTCTATTTCACTTTCCCATACGCCGAAATGTTCTGCAAAACTTTTCCCATATTTCGGATCACACCACTTCTTATTGTTTGTTTCAATTATCTCAAGATCAAAAAATTGTATCAGATATTTAAATTGTTCTTAAACACATGGGAGCATCATCAAAAGTAGATTATTTCCATAATTTTTATAAGAAAATTTGTTAATTTACAAAAATATAAAATTGGTAAATTATGCAACAATTAAAAAAGAAAAGATAATTATATAAGAATGATTATTAATTGGATTATAAATATAATTAATACTACAATTCACTTTAACATGAATGTTATTCCCTTTAACACTTTCCCTTTAAATCCATTGTGTGTAACGGATATAACAAATATATATATAACAATAGACGCATTTTGTATGTCAAATGAAGTTTATGCAGTGTAAATAATCCTTTATGCAATTTTATTTTGTTTTTACTTTGCAAACTGGAGTATTTCATGTATTTATTTGTGTTTGTTTATAAAGGTTTAATATATTATTTAAAAGCTTTATTCCAATATACAGTGAATTTTTCAAATTCTCAACTGCTATTTGAAGTGATAAACCATTCACGTGCGTTCGTTTTTTTTACCTAGAAAATAAATTGTTACCGGAATTCCGTACGTGTTATTCCAATTCTAGAGTATTTTGTATGCAAAAGATTCCATATGCATAGCTGCAAACACATTGCACGAGAATATTTCACTAAATAAGCTGTAACAACATACTTATTTCCAAACTGGATCTAAAATATTATACGATTTTGATAAAAAAAATCAATAACTTTTTGGAGTGAAAAAAAAATACATCTTATTTTATTAAATTGTTATTGTATATTATAAAGGAAGAAAGAATAGTGAAACGATATTAATATGGAAAATTATTGTATAAAAATGACTAATTTAGAAATACTTTTTGATAATTTAACAAAAGACATAATGTTAGTACAATTAATTAGATCACAGTTTAAATAATACAAAAAAAAAACTTGTGTATCTATAATTATAATAAAAGAAAAATGTGTTACATATTAAAAAAATGGCCAATAAATATTTTTTTAACTATTTTAGGTAATATCAGACAAGAAATATTGCACAATTTTATAATTATGTATAATTTATTCGTTAAGATGTTTAATAAACAAATAAAAACCTTTGCTTATATCTTCAATACGAATTATAGATATATATAACAACTTTATTACAGTAGTAATTCATATACAGTTATTATATAATTTCTGTTTTGAACTTTCATATTTACTTCGATATTCATATAAAACTAACGTAACCTTTCTTATCAATTTAAAATGAAAACTGGATTATTTCATAACAGTTTCTACAATAACGAGTTTCCATAACTGCATGAGTTACATGAATTACTTTAAATAAAATGAAATACAACTAAAATAAAAACTTGTCTTTGCTTTTCCATATTCAAAATCGAAATTGTATATAAGTAGGAAAAAGTAATATATTGGGATTTCACTATAACTAAAGTATAAAGAATGAAGCAAAAACAATTGATTGTGTTAGATTTAACTATACTTTTGTTAACTATACTTTAAAAATATCAAATTAATAATACATTAAATGTTTTGCGGCAATTAAACGCAGTCTTGTACAAGTATTTGGAAAGTAATGGTACACTTAAGAATGCTTCGCATATGCTACTGAAGAATTGACATTTCTTTGAAAAATTACTTGGCATGTAAAAAGTGCAGCCACTTTAGAAGTTTCCACGGATACTACCTATGTATAAAGAAAGTATATTTGATTATTAGTTTATTTAAAAAAATAAACATTATACAAGTATTTAAAAAGTAATGATAATCTTAAGTATTTTTCTCAGACGTTACTAAAGAATTAATATTTATTTGATAAATTACTTAACAAGTGAGCAAAACCATATTATAACTCTTACAAATCAAAATCATGTCCCTCCCGAGACTCATCCCAATCCATGTGTAAAGAAGCGCAGAGTCCCGTTTTTGGAAAATTGTTTATATTTCTACCCTCTGTTAAATGTTGCATTTAGTTCCTACTGAGAAACGGCATATTGTGGCGAAATTGTGCAAGGCACAGGCTAAATGAGAAAGGTGGTGGAAAGAAGAAGAAAGCCACTTTATAAGATGTATTCTACATCATATTTTTAAATAAAAGTCTTAATATTGATTTTTTGAAGTTCTTAAGAATGAATATACTTTAATAATTTGTTAATTAACTATAATTGTTCAATTATTAGTAATTAAGGGTTAAGATTAATATAGTACAAATTAATTCTTATGAATCGAACAATAGTTATTGAGAAAATATACTAATTGATCATAACTTGACTATTTGCAAGAACAGCACTCAAGAATGAAATTAAAACAAAATTTGTAGCAGACCGAAAGCAATTTTCTAATTCAAAACATCGATTAATCTCCTTTTTGATGCCTTAACATAGACCTTTCCATTAAACCGTCAACAAACAATTTCTCTATATCAGTTTTCGCTCGTACTAAATACACTCTTCTCCGTCTTCTGTTAAAGTAGTAAAATATATTAATATTTATTGCTGAACAACTTTTACCAACCAATGGATCGGATTGGACACGATAATGAGAAATCTCTCGACGACTCCATACGAATCCGAACCGAACAACATCCATCCACCCAACACAAGCAAGTATATTGAACTTGGCCCAAATCCGAGAAAGTTTAAAAATGGAAATTAATTATCCGTTTCCTCATATGCAAACGCAAACTAAATCTCACCAAATTTCACTTTTTAAAAAATCGTTCTATAGAAGATTCCCATAAAAAGTATTAATTACTAGTTATTTACCCATCCAAAAAAAGTGATGACTATATACATAGAAACTAGCAAATTATTCGATAATTAAATTGATTACCTGAAATAATTGTACCACTACATTCTCTTTTTTGTTAATATTCTTCTCTCTTTTGTATATGCTTATTGAATCATACACACTTTTGGTGCGGGTTAAAGTTTAAGGACGAAATCACTATAATTACGTGATCCTCTGATTTGGACTTCGTTGTTGTCGAATTATCGAAACAAAATTGAAAGTAGTCGATGGACAATAACAACAACTACAAAAAAAGGGGACATAAGCAAGTGGTCTTTTCTTCTTATTGGTTTCGTGTGTTATGTACACGGATATTACGGATAGGTCATGGCTGAGTGACTGATGTTGGCTTCGGGCCGAGAGAAACTTTATCAGCAGCTTAAACTACACTCACACATATACAAAATTATGTATACATATATATAAGTATGAATACATATATACAAATACGAATATATATACACAAATATGTATAC